TTAATTTCTTAGGAGGATAATAATTTTATTATCTATAAAAATATTTATATATAATAAAAAATCAATATTGTAACATATAATTTATTGAGTTCTATCATATACATTACAAGTGAAATAAAAATATAATTTTAAATTATTTTATCTAATTTTAAATCTTATTTATAAAATAAAATTTTTAAATATAATAATATAAAAATGTTTAAATTACAATCAAGTATAAGAAAATTGAGGGAGGCAAGGGGTGAGAAATAAAAAATATTTACGGGTAAATCTAAAAGTGAATGTCTTTTTTTTTTTTTCTATAAAAATCTCTCCATTTGTTGAGATGAAATTGGTGGCAAAATATATATGGGTCCAACGTATTATTTTCCATCCAATTTTCTCTTTGCCCCGTTTTCAGTTGGAAAAAATACAAATTAGGAAATCAGGAAAGATAACTAATATGTCATTTTTAAAAGTATTCTATATTTTTCTGAATTTGTTAGAAATAATTTTGAAATTTGAAGAATAAATTTTACTATCTGTATCTTGTTAATGTATTGTTTAATGCTAGCCAAATTTTAAAACAGCGAGATCTACGTTTTTACACTAATATTTAACTAGTGCTTTAACCATCCTGTGTTGTATGATACCCATTTTATCGCAATTATAAGAGACTTTTAAAAAATTTGATATCTCAAAATATAAGATATTTTAATAAAATTATAATTTTATTAAATAGATTTAATGCAATATCATACTTTCTCTATTTAATTATTGTTTCTCTTTTATTCAATACATTAAATAAAAGGTCTTTTAAAAATTTATATTTTCATTTGAAAAAGATAAGGTTATTATTGGTTAGTGGGTATTTAATAAAATTTATTCGTTTATAAAATTTTATTTAAAAATATTTTATAATTTAAAAATGAGGGAGTGGTAAGAAGGAGTTAGTGGTAGGTGCAGATTGTTATAAAGCAGAGGAAGGCAAAACGGTCTGAACCTATGAAGGTTCAAACAAGAGCAACGAGTCAAATTAGAAAGGAGGCACAGAGAAACCAAGGGGCCATTAAGGTAGTAAATTAATGCAATTATTGTGGAGGGCCATTAAAGTACTAAATCAACGATGAAGATGTTGTCGCTCCCACGTCAACTTGAACCTGAACCGGAGGACACTGTGGATAAGAAATTGTTAAATATTCCACTGCTGACTCGGAGAGAGATTGTGTATCGTTTTGGATAATATTTTACTTGCTGTATTTGAGTCCACAGTATAAATATCAATATACTATTCCGTCTGCTTCGAAATACATACTGTCTTTTAAAGTTCCTGTATACAGATTGGAAAATATAATTGATTGATTGATATGTAAAAATATTGATTATATTGTCGTATTTTGTTCCTAAAACTCGATAAATTATATTATATTATAGGATTTGAAATTGCTGGATTAAATAATGGTATCTTATAAAAAATGTTTTGAACTTCTAAAAAGAGATATAAAACTGGACAAAAAAAATCTCCTAAAAAGATACTCCATCCAAAATATAAGATGTTTACAAAAAAATAATACTTATTAATGATGATTGTTTTAATAATGCCCTTCGTTATTTCCCTCCTTAAATATATATATATATATATATATATTATAATGGAAGATATTTTTAAAAGTTTAGAAAAAATTAAATACTGCAAACTGTATTTAATAAATTTCAGAATTGGTATTCCTATCTTTGAAAAAAAAAGAACACTTTATAAAAGGAAAAAAATTAGGATAATTTTTTTGACTCTGCAAAAGAAATATCTAAAATATTTATTTTTAATTAAATCAAAACATATGAACATTTCGTATATTATTTATTTTATAATAAACTTTTTAAAAATATTTTAACACTTTCAAAGCAATGTGGTTTGACAAAAATATATTAAATATATAAAATTAAGTATATATATATTTTTATTTTTTAATGGTTCATCTAAAATTTCACCGGTTTAACCTCATTTCACTATTTTGTGATTGTTGTCAATGCCATGCTTTTTTATTTTTATTTTCCATGCCCAGGTCCTGGTTTGCTTCGTTTCTACCTCCGGGCTGGGGCAGTGGCTGGGGGAGGCACTTCAAGGTAAGCAACTTGTCATTTATAAATAAATAGAAAGTGCCATATATATATAAGTTACAACGTCAACAATGTGGTTTCGTTGTCCTGTGCGTGTTATTAGATCTCTTAATTTTTTTAATTACTTCCGGCACATTCTTTCTAGATCTTCATTACGTTCCCGCCTAGAATTGTGAATTACATGGTTTCAACCTTTTTAAGTTTTAAAAAAAATTGAAATTGGGCTGCTATTTTATAATATAAAATGATAATTTAAGTTTAAAAGGTAAAGGGCCAGCTTTTTTAAGTCATTATATATATTTTTTTAAAAAAATTAATATTAAAAATTAAATATTATATTAATTCTAAAACTCTAACCTCATTTTATATAGATGAAAAAAGAATTAAACTTATTGAATTAAACTTGTTGTGTGTATTAAATTAAACTTATTTTTCTAAGCTTAATGTCATATATAATAACTTTTTTGAAATTTTAAATATTTTTTTATATTTTTAAATCGAAAATAAAAAAAATATAAGGCTAAGGCCAAGTTAACCAAAATGGAGGCTTGAGATATAGTCGAACTTAATAAGATCAGTGTGTTTAAAATCTGATTTTTTAAGGACCGGCCTTAATTGATAGTTTCACTCTCACCATATTTAATTATTTTTACATTTTTATATAATTGTCATTTCAATCCAAAAATTGTTAAATTTTTATCTATTTCGTTGAATTCATGACGGATTTTGCAATGATTCAATAATCGCATTTAGCGATTTATTTGTGTCAGATTATTGGGAGAACTAATTAATTACTTTTACTAGTACTTAAATTTTAAGTACAAGGTCAAAAAAGAATTAAATTTGAAGCTCGAACATCCTCTGCGAAGGGGAAAAAAAAAAAAAAAATCGAAGATCGCAATGGAAGTTCCAATGCATATTGGCTTTACAAAGAGATTATAAAATTTGAGTCGCTGATCCCCTCAATAGAGCTCATTAGATGGGTTTTGGTAAGAATATTTCATCATCATTTATGTTGATAAACAGTAACACAATGAGATCAAAAATATCTCTCCAACCACTTCCTATAAATTGGAACGGTGATAATGATTCATTTTGTCTTGCAAAACAAGTTAGAGGGAAATTCTATCTTGTTCAAAATATGTACTCTCTTCATCCCAAATTAAAAAACAATGAGAGAGGATTACTCATACAAATAAAATAAAAACAAAGAAAACTTTACAAATTTATTTAAAAAAAAACTAGAAATTTTTAAAAATGTCCATACATATTTAATTTTTATACTACAATATCATTTCAATTATTTTTTATTTGAAGTATAATATTAAAAAAGTATTATTAATGAAATTTATTTTTTAAATTATCTTATATTTTAGAATAGTTAAATTTCTTTGAAATTATTTTATAATCTGAAATAGAGGAAATGTTGTTCATGATTATTGACTTGTTCTGCTTTCCCTCCCATAATTTGATGATTTGATTTAATTTGGCTTGGCTATAAATTAGGCAACAATGGGTTAGTCAAAACTACTAGTCCAAAAAAAAAAAAAAAAAAACCTTCTGCCGCTACATGAGGGAAAAGTTTTTAGACAAATCATGGAAATTTCCATAAATTTCTGGATCGCCGAGAACTTTCAAATCTTTGGAAGCACCGTTATCTCAATATCAAAAAGTAAATCCTCTTTAAAAATATAAAATATTTTTTAAAGAGTTAAAAATTAAAAATATAAAATATTTTTAATTTTTTGAGGAATAATCATTGTCTTTTTTTTAAAATGTCCCTATTGATAATAATTTTATATTTATTGTAGGGTGTTTAATAGGGATAAATATAAAAAAATAGAATTAATTAAAAAATAAGTAATTATTTTATTAAAGAGTGAGCTTCGGTTTAAAATAATTTATATTTTCAAATTGAGAGAGTATGTAAACAATAATTTAAAGTGAAAATATTTTAATAAATTATATTCATGAACAATAGAATTGATTTATGTGGATTCTCATTAGAATATGGACCCATTTGTTTAAAATTTAAAAATTAATAATTTTTAGTTAATTTAAAAATTTTATAAAAAGAAATTTATTTTATAGAGATTTTATAAAAGCACACATTATTTTATATTTGATTACAATAATAAAAAATTAATTATGAATTAGTTATTTTTAAATTTTATAATAATTTTCTTAATTTTTTATAAAAATAATTTATTATTATATTATTTTAAAATTTTATAATATCTTCACGCATCTCACCTATTTGAAATATCCTCATTCATTTTCTGTATTAAATTATTTTAATAAGCTACTCAAAATAGATTCTTAATATAATCATAGATTTTCTTTTCTTTTTTAAATTTTAATTATTTTTAATAGCTTAAACAAACATCATAAAATATTTACAAGATAATTTTTTTAAAAAAGTAAATTTTTCATAAAATAAGTTAAAATAAACTGACCATATATTATAATATCACCATAAGAAGTTGAAACTACATGCTGGTAAATTAAAAATTATAGAAATCGATAATTTTTTTATTACCCAAAGGAATTATATTAAAAAAAATAATATTATTTAAGACATGATAATGTAATGTCAAACTAAACGTTAATTCGTCGTGTTGGGAGAATCTAGTCTTTTTACTTGACTAATCCTATTGATTAATTGTTAAAAATTATAATTACCATAGAGTTCTAATTAACTCATTTGCAAAAATATCCTCGTCCGCTAATCGCTCGGTGGGGTAAGAAGACCAATAGAGAGAGAAAAAGATTTTTGACCTTTTGTGAATCTACCGCAACTTTTTTATTTTAAAAAATGATTATAATTAAGAATTTCTGTGGGCTTCTCTAAGTGTTTGGCGCTCCCCCGTCTATAAATTGCCTCACCCTCCTCCTCTGTTTCCATTCATTCATTCCTTCTTCTCCTACCCCCTTTCATTTTTTGCGTTTACTCCGTTTCTGTACGTTCTCTTTCTCTTTATCTCTTTTCCTTTTCCTTTTCCTTTCTCTGTTCTTGCTTTTTCTCTACTGTTATTCTGCCTCTTATCTGTTCTGTTATTCTGCTCTTGCTTGAGCTAGCTTCCTCAATGGAAGATCTGCCTTATCTGCACGTTCATTATACAGTGGTCACCACGGGGATCAGAGCCAGAGACTCTGATCTTAGGATTAGCTCAGTTGACGAGAGAGATGTTACTCTGCCTCGTCAATCTGACTTAGATTCTCTTGAATAGCACCATGCTGGGAAAATTTTGAATGTATTATTACAGAGGGAGGGAATGCGTGCTTAACTTCGATCCCGATTTACTCAGGAAAGTTAAAAAGAAAAATAAAAACTGACCCTGGCTCTGTATAATTTTTGATGGGGGCGGTCTGTCACTCTGCCTCTGTTCTGGCATGCCGTGTTTGTTGAAATTTTGTTCATTTCACATTGGATTTGTGTTTTGTGAATCAATTTATGTTTCTTGGGATGCCCTTCTGTTGGTTGATTAATTTTTTTTTTGTCTCTAGTCTCAGCCTTTTCCTGAGAAAGGAAAATTGCTCCGTGTTGTCATTTCTCACTTATCAACTCTAAACTCTGATCTTCGTCATCAGCCTGGCCAGGATAAAGAATTGCTTTGTTGGTTTCTCGTATTAATCAAAGATTTCTGCAGAATTTGTTTTTAACCGGAGTCCAGATGCTTTACATCTGGCATCCACTATGCTTCCCCTCGGAATTATAAGCAATGAAGTTCAATTCATTTTTCTTTAAATGAAGCTCTTAATGCGTCTCTAAGAAACTGCATCTTGCAATTATTCTTCTGCACTGTATAAGGCAGAAGTCTCAGTTCATAAAAATTATAAAGAAATCTGCAATTAATTTATACACAGGTGGTTGGTGAGTGTGGGATTAGGTCTTGAAATCTGATCAAGTTAGATTTGTTTTTCTTCTCTGTTCCACACATTGTTTTTTGTTTGACTTTCTGCAGTACCTCACTGTGCTTACTCTGGATCTGGTTTTTTAATTTGCAGAAATGGCTTCCGATCGGTTGACTCGAGTTCACAGTCTCCGCGAGAGGCTTGATGAGACTCTCACAGCGCACAGGAACGAAATCTTGGCCCTCCTCTCAAGGTATTCATGAGCAAAATCTCGTCTTTTCTTTCTGTTGATGATTTGTGATCAGATCATATCTTAACTCGGTGGGGAAAACTGTTGGGGTACTGAAGGATTGAATCCAAGGGCAAGGGGATTCTGCAGCACCACCAGGTCATTGCAGAGTTCGAGGAGATCCCTGAAGAAAACAGACAGAAGCTAATTGACGGGGCTTTCGGAGAAGTCCTCAGATCTACCCAGGTAGTTTTTTTAAGAAGTTTCAGATCCCCCCCCCCTTTCATTTTCTCTATTTTAGATAATTTTTGTCTTATTATTATTATTGTTACATCCTTGATGCAGGAAGCCATAGTTCTGCCACCGTGGGTTGCCCTGGCTGTCCGCCCCAGACCTGGTGTTTGGGAGTACCTGCGCGTGAATGTGCACGCTCTTGTTGTCGAAGAGCTTCGTGTTGCAGAGTACCTGCGCTTCAAGGAGGAGCTCGTTGATGGAAGGTAAGGATCTAAATCTTTAGATCATTCGCATGATAGTTTAGTTTAAATGGTGTTGGAACGTTCGTGGATCATATGTCAAACACGAGATGTTTCTGTTCTGTTGCTCTTAATCCAGCTCGAACGGCAACTTCGTGCTCGAGTTGGACTTCGAGCCGTTCAGCGCATCATTCCCCCGACCGACTCTGAACAAATCGATCGGAAATGGTGTCGAGTTCCTCAATCGTCACCTTTCAGCGAAGCTGTTCCATGACAAGGAAAGCATGCACCCACTGCTTGAATTTCTCAGGCTTCACAGCTTCAAGGGAAAGGTATTTTCATTTCGTTTCGCTACATCATCATGTGTTTCATGTCTGTGATTATTTCTTGCCACTGACTAAATCCTTCTTGTTTCCGTTTGCAGACTATGATGTTGAACGACAGGATCCAGAACCTGAACTCCCTCCAACATGTTCTCAGGAAGGCCGAGGATTATCTCACCACACTCGCTCCTGAGACTCCCTACTCCGAGTTCGAACACAGATTCCAGGAGATCGGTTTGGAAAGAGGGTGGGGAGACACCGCCGAGCGTGTCCTAGAGATGATCCAGCTTCTGTTGGATCTTCTCGAGGCACCTGATCCCTGCACTCTCGAGACATTCCTCGGAAGAATCCCCATGGTGTTCAACGTTGTCATCCTCTCTCCCCACGGTTACTTTGCTCAGGATAATGTCTTGGGATACCCCGATACCGGTGGTCAGGTTAGTTTCGTTCAATGATTTGCCTGCTTGCGGTGATATTTTCCTAGTCAGTTTTGAGTGACCAAGTATTTTGATTTTACAGGTTGTTTACATCTTGGATCAAGTTCGTGCCTTGGAGAACGAGATGCTCCAACGCATTAAGCATCAAGGCTTGGATATCATCCCTCGCATTTTCATTGTATGTTGTTCATTGTACAGTTGTATAGAGTTAAATGAGATGATGGTGGTGGTGATTGCTTAGCTGATGTTTTTTTATACTGTTCTGGTCAGATTACTCGTCTTCTGCCAGATGCAGTAGGAACTACCTGTGGCCAACGTTTGGAGAAGGTCTTCGGTACTGAGCACTGCCATATTCTTCGTGTTCCCTTCAGGGACGAGAAGGGCATGGTTCGCAAGTGGATCTCCAGATTCGAGGTCTGGCCATACCTGGAAACCTACACCGAGGATGTTGCTCAAGAGCTTACCAAGGAGTTGCAAGGCAAGCCAGATCTGATCATTGGAAACTACAGTGACGGAAACATTGTTGCCTCTTTGTTGGCACATAAATTGGGTGTTACTCAGGTTCGTTTACTTGATATTCTGCATCTGGCTCCAACTTTAAACCTTTCTTTTGATTGCACTTCCTAACTCTTGTATACGCGTAATGCAGTGTACAATTGCTCACGCACTTGAGAAGACCAAGTACCCAGATTCTGACATTTACTGGAAGAAATTCGAAGACAAATATCACTTCTCCTGCCAATTTACCGCTGATCTTTTCGCAATGAACCACACCGACTTCATCATCACCAGTACCTTCCAGGAGATTGCTGGAAGGTGATCATCACTCACTCACCCCCTCAATCTCATGTCATGTTTTTTTTTTTTTTTTGGGTAATCTGCTTACTGAAATTCTTGAATCTTCTCCCTGGTAATTTCACAGCAAGGATACTGTCGGACAGTACGAGAGCCACACTGCTTTCACCCTTCCCGGACTCTACAGGGTAGTTCACGGTATCGATGTGTTCGATCCCAAGTTCAACATTGTTTCCCCCGGTGCCGACATGAGCATCTACTTCCCGTACACTGAAACTAAGCGCAGGTTAACCTCCTTCCACCCCGAGATCGAAGAACTTCTCTACAGCTCCGTCGAAAATGAAGAGCACATGTCAGTATCTATATTTTCTATCATATAACTTAAAAAACATAACTGCATCGTATTAGTACCTTACTGACTGAATTCATGTTTAACAGTTGTGTGTTGAAAGACCGGAACAAGCCAATCATCTTCACCATGGCTAGATTGGACCGTGTGAAGAACATCACAGGACTAGTCGAGTGGTACGGGAAGAACGCCCGCCTGCGAGAGCTGGTGAACCTCGTGGTTGTGGCCGGTGACAGGAGAAAGGAGTCGAAGGATTTAGAAGAGAAGGCTGAGATGAAGAAGATGTACGGTCTGATCGAGACTTACAAATTGAACGGGCAATTCAGGTGGATCTCATCTCAGATGAACAGGGTGAGGAACGGAGAGCTATATCGTGTGATCTGTGACACCAAGGGAGCTTTCGTGCAGCCTGCTCTGTACGAGGCTTTTGGTCTGACCGTCGTGGAGGCCATGACCTGTGGTTTGCCAACTTTCGCCACCTGCAACGGTGGTCCGGCTGAGATCATCGTCCACGGCAAATCTGGATTCAACATTGATCCATACCACGGTGACCGCGCCGCCGAGATCCTGGTTGACTTCTTTGAGAAGTGCAGGGTTGATCCATCTCACTGGGACACCATCTCCCAGGGCGGTCTGAAGCGTATTCACGAGAAGTAAGGAGCTTAGATTTGATTAGTCATATGTGTAATGTATATTGATTTTGATCGCGTAACCAAGACTAATTCTCTAAATCGGCTTCCTCAGGTACACATGGCAGATTTACTCTCAGAGGCTTCTCACTCTCACCGGCGTGTATGGCTTCTGGAAGCACGTGTCCAACCTCGACCGCCGTGAGAGCCGCCGCTACCTCGAGATGTTTTACGCCCTCAAGTACCGCAAATTGGTACGGAAATCTTCCCATTCTCTGAATTTCTTTGTTCTCTTTTGGTTTAAAAAGAAATCTAAATTATTGTTTTCGTTGGTGATTTTTGCAGGCTGAGTCCGTGCCCCTTGCCGTTGAGTAACAAGAGAAGACTATAGTTAAAATGTTAAGAGATGAAGAGTCGGCTTTCGCACATTTGAAGTTCCCCCCCAAGTTTTTACAACTAATAATATCATTGTTTGATATTGTTCTTAGGATTTGAGTTGAATATGAAAAAAAAAAAGTTTTGTTTGCCTTTCTACTTTTTTTTCGTGGTCCAATTATTGTATGCGATTGCAAATCTATCAATTCAATTTTAAGCCGTGCCTTCTTCATTGCCGTCACAGTTTAAAAGAGTCCCCCTTTTCCAATCTTTTGACGCGTCAAAACATCCAAATTCCAAAGGCTGGTTATTTGACAAAAAAAAAAGAAAAGAAGAGAAAGAAAAAGGTCGTAGGGTGAGAGCCTGATTTCAATTTATATTTGATAAAAATATAATTAAAAGATTTAATTATTTTTTGAATTTAATAAAGATGCATTTTACATATAATTTGAATGTGTTTTTATGAATTTGAGAGTAACAATGTCATCTCGTGTTTGGACCTAGTGAAAAATGGCGAGCGCATGTAACCATGAGCATTAGTGCTTATCACTTCAAGGGCTTAAATCCTCAGTTAGTTTCTACCGTTAATTTTAAATTTATTATTTAATATTTTTAATATTATATTTACTAAAATAAAAAATTATTAAAAAAATTAGAATCTTAATATTGAATCTATGCTATTCAGGCTATATTTACATAGTTAATTTATAAACATTATAAAAAAATTTAATATTAAATTAAATTATCCAAATTATATTTGTACTTTAGTATATATATGAATAATCAATTTATAAAAGTATAAAAAAATTTAATATTAAATTAGAGAGTCTAAATTAAATCTGTACTAACCATATTAATTATAAATAAATTTATTAAAAACATTATAATTTTTATTTTAATAAATATAAAATAAAAATAAAATTTTTTAAATTTAAACAGTTCAGATTTTATCAATTGAAACCCAAAAGACAATCCACATTTAATATCAATAATATAATATTAAAAAAATTAAGAAAAGAAATTTAACACGGAAGGCAGAGATTACATGGTGATGAAATCAAACCTCGAGATGATGAGCATTCCGTGCTCATCATGCGGACGCCGACGGCGGGAATTGCTTTTGCAGCAAAGTGGAGGCGTCGGGTCATGTATGTTCCACGTCTTATTCTATTTCTTTTCAGATAAATTTGAATACATTGTTAATGATTTTTGATAAAATTGGGGAGATTTGATTCCCGTCAGAAAAATTCGGAAAAGGGAGAGTTGTGAAATGAAATTCGAATGGATTCAGTGGGACGTGTAATTAAGAGCAACCGTATATGATGACAGCCAGCTTTTTAAGGTATCAAGGAGGGCCAATTAAAATGGAAATCCAGCTTTAAAATTCTCAATCCCGGACTAGTTGATGAGGGACGGTCAATAAAGTAACAAAAACGGTGCCGTAAATTCCCGGTCTGTTTTGTGCTTCGTCCTTTTGACTAACAGGACTGTGCAAAAAAATTCTAAACCCGATCTGTTTTGGTTCGACCCGACGTAACCCGGTCTTAAAAAATTCAACCCAAACAAAAGATTGGGCTGAACGGATCAGATCAGACTAAAGATTACTCTTTTGGATCAATTTGTTTGGCTTGGTCCAGGTTATTTTTTTAATATTAAATATTAAATAATTATATTATTTATAAAAAATAATCTTACACAGCTAAGCTCAGTAAAAGTACCCTCATGCGTATGCCTTGGACTCGGTCTTTGAACTCTGAGAGCCTCATTTGTCATTTCTCTATTTCTCCATGTCGCATGAAAATTTAATTATAGGGTAATTTGAACAAAAAAAATATAGGAGACAAAAAAAATGAAAATCTTACATTTATAATTAAAACAAATATCTAACTAGCTCTTTGACACTTGCAAGAATAAAAAAAAGCAGCAATAACATTTACAGGTATTGAATAGTATGACACCTTTTTTGTATTTTATATAATACGCGAAAAAGATGATTATTTATACTCTAAAAAACTGAAAGAACATAATTAATTTCATAACAAGGACTATTTGCAATTAAACAGTGCTAACTTTGAAACTCAATCGATAATAAGCCTATGATATTGGTGCAAGTGAATAGGAAAGGAGATATAAATGTTTTTTTTTTAGAAAGTTGGATTCAAGAAACTGGACTGGTCCGGTAACTCGATGGACCAAGTCCAACCTGGTCCAGGTCTCGTGTCTAACAAGACTAGACCAGTCCTTGGATTGAAAATTCTAACTTGGTCTCCATTCAGACTAGATTTCAAGTTGGTATCCAACCCAGTCCAGTCTAGTATTTGTGTAGCCCTACTTTTGAGACACTCACAGTGGGAGAATCTCTTCCCTTATTTTTTTTTTTTAATTTATTTGGATGGGATGACTTGTGGGGATAAGTCCATTTGAGAGGGCATAACAATGGGAGGAGAAGATGGAAATGAATTTGGGCTGCATGTGGCTTTTTTGGGTTTGGATATGATTTGATCTTATGTGCGGATGCATCACTAGGAAGTGGGCCCCCTATGTTGTGAGCATAAATTCATGGTCATGTTGATTAGGCTGTGACACTGATTCTGATTCCTCCCAGTTATCCTCTCCCCAGGATAAACAAGAACAGGTACCCTTCTTCAGGATTCCCTGTGTATTTAATCCATAAGTCCTCTTGTAACCGTACAAATTTTATGACTAATTTTATTTTGTATTTTGTAGCCTTTTTTTATTTTGTTGAAATACAGAATAGAAGGATAAAATCATGAAAATGACTTTTCAACTGAAAAGTTGATGGAGAGTGATGGTTAAATAATAAAGAAATAAAAATGAATATACTTTGTCACGTGTCTGGCGATGCGCAGGAGCATGGAAACACGTGAGATACCGTAGGTAATTTGCCTCCTTCAAGCCAATGATCATTCATTCATTGATTTACGAATACATTGCACCACGCTTCAAGGGTTCTTTTCTTTTATTTTCTTCTATTTTATTTTTTTAAAAAAAAAATACCTTGTGTTTGAATGATATTTTTGGGAGTTATAAATATTAGATTGATCTGCCGCCAATTACCGAAAAAAAAAAGACCAGTTGTTGCCGGAAAACGCATCAAGAAAGTATAAGTTCATATTAGTTTCTCTTTTGTCATGGTATTAGACAAATAGTTTTACCCTTTTTTCTTTTGAGCTTTAGCATTCGATATGATGCCACCGCTTTTTATTTGAGGTAGGTTTCTAGGTGTGGAAGAAATCAGATTACGAGAGACGATAATCTGTCTAATCATAAAACTTAAAAAAAATTAATCATTTAATTTTCATAATTTTAACTCAATTATAACTAAATATTTACACTTTAACTCATTATAACTCAATTTTTAAAGTTTTGATTTAATTGTAACTCAATTCTTAAATTTGACCTCTTATAATTTAGTTCCTATAGTTTCAATCACTTAAATATTGGTCTCAATATTTTAAAAATAAAATTATAAAGAGTAAAAATATTTTAAAATTTATTACTAATATTTTAAACTACTAAACCCTTGTAATATTTATAAATATTATAAATATTAAAAGTTTAAAATATTTTTTATTTTTATAATTTTATTTTTTAAAATATAGAGACCAAAATTTAAGTTGTTAAAACTACATGAACTAAATTATATGAGGCAAAGTTCAAAATTGAGTTACAATCAAGCTAAAATGATAAGGATTGAGTTATAATGAGTTAAAGTTTAAGAATTGAGTTATAATTGAATCAAAATTATAAGGATCAACTGATTAATTTTTCTCAAAAATTTAAGTCTCTTTCAACCATGCATGTTACTCTTAAAAAAGTAGTTAAAGTAACAAAATTGTAATAAAATTGAAGTAATTTATAACATTATCCTATTTTTTGAGCCAATAATATTACCCTGACTGATTATACTTAATTCCGCCGTCATACTAATTTCAACCCTCTCACGAGAGGAGTCCTGAAAATTAATTGGATTAATAAATATGTTACAAATGTAAATTTCTTTTACAAAATACTCTCATCTAATAATTATATGGTGACTTTTAATTATTGATCTTGTTGATAAGAACTGTTTTTTAATGAGACTATATAAAGAGGATTTTAATAAATTACTCCAGATTAGAGGTCGTTTCCTTTTATAAATACAAAACCAGAACCCTTTAAAAATTCTCTTATAAAAAGGATAGGAAGAGTCTTATCAAAATTTCCAAAACGGCTTTATGAATCTGCAGATTCATAGAAGTGAATGCAACCTTTTAGTAAATTGAATAATACGCTTTTGTATTAATTAGGAAGGGGTATTTACACAAGTATTTATAGAATATACAACCTAAATAAAATACTAAAATACCCAACTAGACTAAAACAACATAATATAAAAAATACATCATATATTCTTAACACCCCTTCTCAGGTTGATGTTATGTAAATCTATTGTTCTCAACTTGTTAAGAAATTTATCATGTGATTTTCTTCCTAAAGCCTTTGTGAGCACATCTGCTTCTTAATATGCAAACTTAACATGATGCAAGGAAATCATTTTTTCTTGTAATTTCTCTCTAACAATCAATCTCTATGTGCTCAGTCCTCTCATGAAACACAGGATTATTTGCTATATGAATTGTTGCTCTATTGTCACAATAAACCCACACAGGTGTTAAATTATGCTGACCTCATTCTTTTAACAACCTTAAGACCCACATTATCTTAGATACAACAAACTAAGGGCCTTATACTAAACTTCAACTGATGACTTTGACACAGTCCCTTATTTCTTTGTTTTTTAGGAGATTAAAGAGTCTCCTATCTTTAACAAGTAGCCAGAAACTAATCTTCTAGTTGTGTGGCACGAAGTCCAATTTGAGTCACATGGACACCTCAAATCTGAACTAGGTTTGGAACTTAGGAGAATTCCTAGGCCTAGATTCCACTTCAAGTATCTCAACACATTTTTTGTAGCAGCCATGTGTCAAATTCTGCATAGAAAAGGAAATATTAGGACGGGTCATTGTTAAATAGATTAACTTATCAATAAGTCTCCTATATTCGCCTAGATGTTTGAATAATTCTTCCTTCTTATTTCTTCCTTCTTCATAGGCTGTAAGTCTTAAATTTTGTGCCATTGGAACTACTATAGGTTTGTAACCACTCATCCCTGTTTCAAACAACAAATCCAGCATATATTTTCTTTGATTCATTATTATATCCCCTTTC